CACCAGTTACCTAGTTACTGCAGATATTACCGTAACTGAATCTAAAAGAATGTTAAGTATTTCCGTTAAATCACACCAGTTACCTAGTTATTGCAGATATTACCGTAACTGAATCTAAAAGAATGTTAAGCATTTCCGTTTAATCACACCAGTTACCTAGAGCGCGTTCACACTAGGTTTTGGAAGTAGCTTTATTCGTTTTAAAGCGCGATTTAAAATAAAGTCCAGTGTGAACGCTTTTTTAAAGCGCGCTTTAAAATTTTTCATTCTCGACACTTTTAAAGATACAGTTCACATTTCATCTGAGTCTCTTTGTTCGTGTGTCACTGGCCTCGCTTGTGCTGCTTGTGTTCTCTGGTGCTAGGGCATAAATTATGGCTGATCCTAACAAGCAAAAGTAAGTGTATACCTTGCAATTCTTTAAAAAATATAAATAAGTTTAATTATTTAAAATTGATCGGATTCAATGTAATATTTTCGTTTTTTTTTTTCAGCGAAAGAAGACGGTCATCTTATGACGAACTGAGATTCCACACCAACGACCAGTCAACTAGCCATTATCAATGGTACACACCACCTCAATCTATTTACGCCAGGGAATTGCACCGAAATCCCTATTTGCAGCCTCATCTATACCCATCTGATCTGACCTACGATGACGATAGCCAAGACATCATTCCGCCAACACAACAACTAGTACCTCGTGTTGTGCCACGTATRCCTCCGTCAAAACCTACAACAAACGCTCCACACACTTCAACCCTGTTTTTTCCTACAAGTCAGCCCTCAACATCTACTTCAGTCACTCAAGCTGAAGATGACAGCATTGAGGAAAAGAAAGCAAAATCGTCTAGTGAAAGGGGCCCAAGATGGGATGACGCTCAGACAAGACTGCTTCTCAATGTGTGGGAAGAAAACTACAAAAACATTGACAAAAAGCGCAATAAGAGTGCATGGGAAGAAATTGCGAGAGAGCTGAATTGTGAGTTAACTGCAAATGGTATTTTTAACGTCGTGCGAACTGCTTCACAATGTAAATCTAAAATAAAAAACCTCACAGATGAGTACAAGAGAGTTTGCGACGCAAACGCTAAGTCTGGAAACAGCCGACAAGATTTCAAATACTATGAAGAGGTAAATAATGTTCTTGGCTGTCGAGATAGTTCTAAGCCAGGTCATATAGTCGAAGTTGGGTCTAGTGCAGTAGATGAGAGTGACAAGGTTACTACAGAGATTGCTTCTGACAACGATGACGCCACGAGCGCCGTCAACAAATCACCAAAATCGACCGGGAAAGGAAAGAAAACAAGAGGACAGAAGAGAAAGAGGGATGACGATRATAGCACAACTGAGATGATAAGGTATCTTGAAGAAAGTGAGAAGAGGGAAAGGGATTTTTTTCTGCGTCTTACAGAAATGGAGGAGAGACAGCAAGAGAGGAACATTAAGTTAATTGCAGAAATTGCAAAAATGTTTAAAGATTAAACGGCAACAAGCTTTAATTACTTAAATACATTTATTACAAGTTTTCTGAAAAATGTATTGCGAAAGACTATTATTCTTATTTAGTACATCATTTTAAACAACAGCACATCTATCATTTTAATATCATTCATTGTTACTGTTCAATTCAAGCTTTTCAAAACGATCACGTATGAAATTGATATTATTATGACAATCAATTATCAGTTTACAAACAATAAAAAAGATAACAATTGTGTATATATATATACATAAATATAT